TACTGTATTTGCCTTGTTCATTTTTCGGATCTCAGCCACAGTCACACTGTTCATAATGCTTTTCCGAAGCATGCACACGGTTCTCACATGATTTGATTTTATGCTATCAATTGATACCTTATTGGTTATGATTTGAGTTGTTGATAGTTTCTTGATTTTTTCATCGATGGAAACGACAGGGTGCTGAGCGCTGAAGATTGGTCTCGAGGTCTGCGACGAAATCACCTGAATGAAATCATATAATTCCAATGTGGCTTTCGTTTTTTGTTTTGCAATATCTTTCTTTTTTGAAAACCGTAGAGATTTTTAAAACTACTGAAAACTTGGAATTAATCTCAGGGTCTACCAAATTACCTGGAAATGTTCCGTGTTCTCTAGTCGACAGCGGCTGTCTTGAATTGTGAGACGGGTCCCGTTTTCGGCTCCTGATATAAGCAACTGAAAAAATGCACAGTATAAGGTTTCTAGCTGGTTCCGGTGTTCCATTTGATTTGACTGTTATTTGGTCTTTTCTCACCTTATGTTCTCGAGAACCCCCAGCATGGGGAAAATTAACGAAGTAAAGTGCCCTCCGATGATCCCCCTCTCGGTGTCCTTGACTGTAAAATTCCAAACCAACACGTTTACAGCTCTAGTGAAAAACCCTTCAATCATTAAGGTAGTGACAAGACATAGCGTAAAATGGATACCACTTTAGCGAGTAGAGGGGTCATTCCATCTGGCATATGGTTTTAGGAAGGTAAATGCATGCAAAAATTGCGTCGACTTGTCGACCGCTTCGAATCTATGTAGTTGTATTGTTGTGCTAGTATCGCCAAAGTAGTAGTAGAAGTAGGATAACGTATAGGGAATGGTAGGAAGTATTCTGAACGAGACCAGAACCATTTCTTTTGGCAGAAAACTTGATTAAATTAAGTTCACCGCCTAATAAATAGACAACATACGAACTCTGGATCCATATATGTTCAGTTCTTTATCACTGTAGCCAGACACCTGGCCATTTGTGACGACTGTCCCCAGATCGATTTGGTTGCCATCGAATTCCACTACCTAAACAAAACAGCAGTGAACAATGGTTAGCGTACCTTTCTAAAAGCCACATCTCATCCGCTTGCCTGGGCCACTGTCATATAGTGAAAATTACTTACCTAATTAAATTATTGACGTATGCGTAACTATAAGAAAACTTTCCTTGAGAGAATGAGAATGTCATTTTTGGAAAATTTTGTGCATAGACGATCGGAAAGAATTTTAGTCCATCACGTCTGTATACCAGTATAATTTTCAGTTTTTATTTTTGAACTTAAATTAGACTATCTACTTGCTAATGTTACTTTCTTTATTACTTAAATATAAAACGAGCATTTAGGAGGAGGGGTCAAAAATCACTACATTATAAGGCTGAATGAATAAGATTTAACTCCGAAAAAAGAACGTCTAGG